CGTCTATTTCTCTGGTGGTAGTGGGGCTCAGACGAGCCTGCGCATACGGCTCGCAACGATTCTGAAACTGCTGTACGAGCATGTCCATCACCCCAGAGTGTTTTGTTTATACTAGACTCACTACTACTAGTGTGTCAGGATGAAAATTGAATACAAGATTAATATTAATAATTAATACCGTTTTTTAGTCAGTTTAGAGATGTCACGCACAGACTTTAATGATTTGGGTGTTTACTCAGATATCATCAAGCTGGTGGTAGACGTTTGAGCTGTAAATTTCTCCCGGCGGCGCCATCTGATGGGAAAAAGATGGGAGAGATGACAGTTGGTGATTTCAGCATGCGAGAGTCGGTTCAAAGTCTGGTGAGATTTTGTTGGGGTTTTGTTGCTTCGTGATTTCCTCGTAGGTTGAGGACGTCATTGGCGATATACTTTTGCCTTCTTTGGAAGACCCGGTTACTGTAGTTAGATGGACAGCTGCTAAGGTAGGCATTCCGTTGACATAAGGGGACGTATTTGGTGCAACTGAGGTCATCGCTACATCGCATTGGTGGAAAAAGAACATGATTGTTAATGAACTAAATTGTAAGTAGAATTCAATCACATAGAACTTCTCATCACAATGACGACTTGCGCAGTTTATTGGACTATATTTCAGCTGAAGATATCAATGGAGTTTCACCCGTCTTACGTGAAGTGGCGGCGTAACACTCGATGGAAAACGCGATTCTCGCGGTGATATGCAGTAGTCGTGCAGTGTGTTTTTCACTGGTGTTTTTCATATCACTAGGGTGAAAGTAAAATGACACAAGGATAGACGATCTTAGTTCGGATCACAACGAAAATTTTGATACCGTTCCGATGTAATTTTTGGTGCTCGAGATTCCTGTTAGGGCAAGAGTTATTGACAAATGGCTCTTGACTAATCATAAAGTAGGCTAGCAAGGGAGAATCTGAAATTAGAAGATGCACTTGTGTACAACATTTCCTGACAATCTCAACACGTATTGTATGGAGTGTAGTGAAGCGTGTCAGGCATTAGGACGGATCTCGAATGCTCTACCGTCAGCAGCAGCAGTTGACGTGTTCACAGCTCTCACTCGAGACAATGATGATGGTATCAAAACTCTCGGAAATGCTCACAGACTGCACGGCACGAGCCTTGCGATAGCTGAGTTGATCCGGAGGTAGGGCGCGAGTCTCATTCTCAGTGTGGGAAAATATACACATGGTCAACTACGTGTTTATGAGAATTCTGAGGAAATTTTGGGAAATTTTTCCTAATTTTTATACACTTCTACCCGAGCTCGTGCGAATAAAAAGACTCAGCAGAACTTCCCAAAAAAATTTCCAAAAAAATTTTTATATTGTCACAATCACACGTCGTCGAGCATGTGCAATTTTTCCCACACGGCTCATTCTGATAGGGTGAGGTTTAATTTTACTCTTCGTTTCAGCTGTTGAATAAACTCACGGTCGCATTGGAGTTTTACCCGCTTTACGTGAAGTGGCGTCGTAATACTCTGTGAAAAACGCGATATTCGCGGTGATATGCAGTAGTCGTGAAATATGTTTTTCATATCACTAGGGTGGTGAAACTCCATTTCATATATATCACGTTTGTTATATTATTGTTGCCATTTGAAACGATTGTTTTTTGGTCTTTACTGTGGAGTGATTTTAATTGCCGAACTTTTCAGATTGGGTTCGACAGCGCTCGCCTTTGACAGCCCCGCGTCCCTGGGTGCTCTCCTGTCTGAAGTTGCTAAACCTGCATTTGAATGCCAAGGCTTGGCAGCAGCGAGAGACGCCGCTTGCTTTATCACTTGGGCGGTCGCAAGGGGGGTCTGCGACAGGGAGGTTGTTAGGAAGAATCTGGATATGATTTTGAGGCTTCTGGTGAGAATTTTTGGGTCGGCTTATTGAACGTATTACCTCGTGTTGATTGTGGAAGTTTGAGCAGTAATTACTGCTTGTGAGATTTGCGGTGTTGTGATTCAATCCTCGAAAAGGAGTCTGTAGTTTTATAACAATTAGTATAACAGTCTGTACTAAGTCATATATCAATTGTGGTGAAATAGCACAAGGAAAGAAGATCTTGATTTGGATATTTGCCAGAATTATGGTATTAGTCTGAAATTCCGGACTGAGGAAACAGTGATGATATTCGTAATATGTAGTGAGCTAGGACAGAGTAGCTGAGGATGTATCTAATGGAGTTTCACCTGTTTTACGTGAAGTGGCGTCGTGAAACTCTGTAAAAAACGCGATATTCGCGGTGATATGAAATATGTTTTTCATATCGCTAGAGTGGTGAAACTCCAATGTTCAATTTATTGTACACGGTCAAAGGAATAACCATGCACAAGATTGCGAACGCTCTTATTAGATGAAAATGCATGCTACTACTCTACAGCTGATGATGGTTGTCTAATCGTCACCTCCAACTCTAGTGTTCAGCCTAGCCTAGTGTGGAGTATCGCTACTGGGAAAGAAGTCCATCAAATGAATTGAGTATAAGGTCACTATCTGTCAGGTCTGCTCGTCTCTGCTCGATCCGAATATTATTGTTCGGCGAGCGGCCTCAGCAGCGGCTCAAGAGATTGTCGGTAGATTAGGATGTGTCAGTGCTGATGACCCGGGCTTCCTGTTTGTGAATTTGGTTGACTACTGGACTGTTGCTAATCGAGTCCATGCGGCTACTACTCTTCTGGGTGAAGTTGCAAGTATGTTAGGTGGCAAACACATGCATGGAATCGCGATATAATGGAGTTTCACGTTTGATATTTCACATTTCTTTTTGTGGCAAAAACATATGAGGAGTGAATAACGCGTAAAACACGTGGAATGTGCTACGTGGACGTGAATATTCAATTCACTTGATATCACGGTTTTCACGTGGAACAGGTGAAACTCCAATATATGAGTTTATGGGAACTAATATATGTACATGGTCAACTACATGTGTTGATGACAATACGAGAAGTGTGGGAAAATTATTGTTAGTTTCTTTACACTTCTACTCGAATCCATGTGTGATTATTAAGAAAACTCCTGAGCTCAGGTGAGGAAAGCGAAAATATATTCGAAAACTCGAGGAAATTTTGAAAATTTTTTTCTTGTTTCTGCACACTTTTACCCGTATGAAACTCCTGAGCGAAGATATGTTAGCCCAACACTGCCATGAATGAGTGATTTCATTTTAGGCAAGCTCTCGAGAAGCGATTCTGATTTGGTGCCTTTTGTTTTGGATCATCTCTACCGTTTACATCTAAGGTGAGTGGCACTATGGGTCGGTTTTGTGCGTACGAGGATTCACTCGGTTGGGAAATATGGAATCGATTACGGAGTTTTTCACTCCGACGATTATGCGACCCTGAAATTGATTCTGGGGTCAAAACTCAAAATCGCTTCTTACACATATGCTAGAATCGAATTCTGAACTCCAGAATTGATTCAATGCACATGGGATATGCAGTGAGAGTTACTCTCTCGTGGGGCGAGCGCTGAATTTTATGGCGAGTGACGATTTTATTGCTTTGGCAGGAGTACCGACAAGAGAACTAGAGAGCTGGCAGCACGGAGTGTAGGCGCGCTGGTGCCCTTCGTGGATGATAGCCATCTTAGTGAGGTGACGAGAAAAATGTCATCTGTGGGTTTCGAACCCGGGACCTCCTCAGTTCATAGAGGACAGGCTCTTACCGGCGTGCCTGGAGGAGACGACAACTCATCCGACAATTTTTCGTCATGGAGCATTGTTGGGTGTCTCGGAGGTTGTGGTGGCGTGTGAGGAGCTGGTGAGAATTGGGAAATATACACGCATGCAGTTATTCGTTGGAGATTAGTACAGCTTTCACTGAGTTACTAGTAAATAACCATATATTTATATATGCATACCTGGTATTATCTTTTCATAATACAATAAAGTTTCACCCGTTTTACGTGAAGTGGCGTCGTAAAACTCGGTGAAAAACGCGATATTCGCGGTCTGTAGTAGTCGTGAAATATGTTTTTCACTAGTGTTTTTCATATAGGGTGAAACTCCAATGTTAAATATATCCCTATTTAACATTATATACCTAAGATTTGATAAAATACAGAAAAAAGGAAAAAAGTTGAAAACAGAAAAAATAGAGAAAATACATTCCGAAATAGTGGAAAATACGTTCCTAGTGTGATAACGGTTTCATTGTAAATTACTTGACTAAAGAGTTGGAGAAAATTGGGAAGATGCTAACTATAATAAATGGACATCAATTTTAATGTGGTACGAATACTATTATCAGTTTGGAAGAATATGCACATGGTCAACTACATGTGTTGATTATGTGCATATCAAATTACCACGCACTTCACACTAGAGTTTCACCCGTTTTATGTAAAGTGGCGTAATACTCTGTGAAAAACGTATTCATCAAGTTTATTTCCCACTAGTGTTTTTCATATCACGAGTGAAACTCCAATATTACCATTTCTAAAGATGTATAATGCCGAATTCATTGACTAGTTCAACGCAACGAAAGTAATTCAACGCAAGTATAGTAATATTTGCATTTGTTACGGTATGGGAAAATGTGCACATGGTCAGCTATGTATGTTGGTGAGAGTATGAAAATTTGAAGAAATTTTGGGAAAATGTTGTTGGTTTCTGTACACTTCGTATGCAAACTCTGAACTCAGCAGGGGAAAGCGAACATATGTTCCTCCTCCAACACTGTTGCGAAATTATTCCCAAACCCGGAAAAATTTACCCATTTTATTACATCACTATCATCGTCCTTAATTCCTTTCCCGAGGGCCGCTTTGCTATCAACCGAAACAAGTTCTTCCGTAGTATCCTATAACGGGTGTGGCTCAGATCAACAGGGACGAATCACGCAGCGGGAAGATTTTGGATACTAACACGGCGACTTTGATACGGAACGTTGTCCCCAAGCTGGAGAAAGCTCGACTGTATAGAGGGAGAGGAGGGGAGATGATTAGAGCAGCGGCGTGTTCGTTGATGCAGGCCGTTTTTTATGTGGGTGAAATGGTCCAAAATAATCGTTGACACGCGTGTTAATTAGGCACGAAGTTGCATTGCATTGAAACCGAATACAATCCCTCGGTACATCCAAAGCATTAACTCGAGCATACGTCACTTTACCGCTGCGGTAATGTCGATGAAATTACACAAGAAAAACCGCTTCGCTTCGCCGTTTTTTCAGGTCCAAATTGCTGCTGCTGAAGCATTGATGACCCTGGTTGTGTGCCGACCTAGTGAAATTACTTCTGATGAAATCGGGAAAATTGGAAAAGAGTATATTGAAAAACTTGAGGTTGCTGATGAAAATGTGGCGGCGCGACGAGGCTATGTTTTGGCGTTAGCATTAATAACGAGAGCTCGAAAGACTCCTCCTGAGGATCCTGTGGTATCACTTTTCGTGAGGGAAGCGAATGCATGGCCGACTCATCCGATTTCGAAGGACCTAGTTGATGCTGAAACACGACGGTGGGCAGTATTAGGACTACTCGGCGTGGTTCAGAGTGAAGTTGTTGTGGATGCTGTTGTGGAGACTTTGATACGATGTGTGGTTGTTGATTATGCTACCGATAGTAGAGGAGATGTCGGGCGATGGGTACGAGAAGGTTCGGTTAGAGGAGTCTCGGAAGTTCTCGCGGGAAGGTCTATGAAATCGTTTGTTGTTGATAGCTGTCTGGCTGCACTGATCTCGGCGAGTGTGAGTAGATTGGATCATGTTAGAGTTGTTGCTATTAGTGGTATAGAAGACATTATTGTTGGGCGAGGCTGTCGGGGAGGAGGGCCGTTCGAGAAGGTGAGGGTATCTTAGATGTCTCTTGAGGAAGATACGGAATAAGTCCGATAGCTGACCGTTTATAGTGCGCAGAAGTTTAGTATATAACTGTGGAGGATTTATCTTTCCCATGAACAACCTGGACGTGATGTTTTGTGAGACGTGTGATAGTGAAGAAGCTGTCTTTTTCAGGGTCTCGAAAGGTTATTATTTTATCATACTTGCGTATCAAATTGACACACACTGTATTCTTCTACACGGGTACTGAATGTATAGTGCTTGTTGCTCAGGTGTATGCGACAGTTCGGAAGAATTACGAAGCTCCTCCTCGTATCGATTCACTCCAGCTGCCCTCGAATGCGGTCACCACGTCTCAGTTGAGATGGCCAGCACTCTGGGGTGACATATTGGAGCTCTACCGAGGGAAGGAGAAGATGAACGTATTTAGATCTGGGTTGACGTCCATGAGGAAATTCCCCGCGGTTCGAGATAAATTAGTGATACTCTCATCAGTGGTGTCGTCAGCAGGCAGTCTTTCCCATGGAGTAGCACAGGAGGCGTCCGAGGCTCTCATCAGCCTGCTGAAAGAAGACGAAGTATTTCGGTGTGAATTAGCGGAGTTACTGCTGATTTTGCGGCAAGAAATAAATACTGTCGCTGTTTTCCCGACGAAAGCTGATCGTGATAGTCGTTTTTCTATACCGTGGTTGACTACGATGGAGTTGTTGCTCGCAAGAGATCTATTGGTGTTGAATGAAAATGAAGTGAGCGAAGTTGTGAAAGGAATTGTAGCTGAATTACGAGGATCTCGAAGTGTTGCTAAGCTGCGAGAATGTGCCGTGTGCCTTTCTACGGTGTATTTTGGTATACTCCCTGTATCGGCTGAGACGAAGACTGAAATAGAACTCGCGCTTTTTGGTCGTCTGTTGTGTCATGAATTCCCGAAGATTCGTCATGCAACAGCGAAGACGATTTATGAGAAATCTTTGCTGTGCGCGTCGCGGAGGGATGAAGATATGTTTGATATTATAATAGAAACTGACTGGACTGCAGATGAGGTGCTTTGGAAAGAAGTGCATTTGAAGATATGTGAGCGGATTGGTGTTGAAGCCGTGGTGGAGCAGGAAGCGGCGATGGTGAAAATGAGAGAACCGTATGTGTTTGGTTACGCTGATTTTGTGAGAGAAGAATATCGTTGAATTCGATAAATCATGATTTCGAAAAAACTGAGTTGTTGAGTTTATTTTTACTCGAGCTAGACTTCGAGAGGGTGAAAGTGGAGGATGTTGTTGCATCGTTGCGATGTGTTTACACAATTGTTGTCTCCTTCCTTGGTATGGATGGCGACCATGGGGTTAAGGATATTGGTATAACAATTGTGTGGTTACATCACAATCGTTTCCGCCCCGTAGCACACAATGTGTCTCTCTCGGGTGGAGGAATCCCTTAGTCGAGCTTATGATAGTGTGCACAGGTTAAGACTGCATTGTAACTTACAATTTGGTTTCAGATCCCTACCCGAGTGCCTTACAATTTGTAAGGCACTCTCCTGCAATTATATGCAGTGTGGTGTTATCTGAAATCACTAATACATCCGGCTCTTCTTGGCGTGCTGTACCTATGGTAGAGTGGAAACACGAAATCAACAAGTGGTTTTTGCCCACTCATCATAAAGTAGTCTAGCAAGGAAGACAAGTATCACAAGAAGCTGAAACTAGCAGAGGCACTTGTGTACAGCATTTCCTCACACGAAGGAATATGAAGTTCTCGTGTGCTCGTGTTTACTCTTACACTGGACTTTTATAACCCTAGTGATATGAAAAACACTAGTTAAGAACGTATCTCACGACTACTACAGTATACCGCGAATATCGCGTTTTTCACCGAGTTTTACGCCACTTCACGTAGAACGGGTCGTCAAACTCCACTGTGCTAATTTCAAAATCTACTTGAATTTTGACGACACTCTTCACTTCATGACGAGATCTTCTTATCCTTTTTCTTAGAAGGTCTAGAAGGCGAGAATATTCTGATGATGATTCGTCCAGTTCTTGCAGTTTTCGAGTTCAAGCTGGTTGAGTGTTGAGTGGAGTCTCACCACCCTAGTGATATGAAAAACATATTTCACGACTACCACAGGCCGCGAATATCGCGTTTTTCAAAGAGTATTACGACGCCACTTCACGTAAAGCGGGGTCGTGAAACTCCAGTGACGTGAGTATGAAGTATGAAAGCCTGTCGTTATATGGTAGTGGTTTCTCCATCACTGAAACTGTAATGCTCTTGAGAGCTGCTGTGCTCTTTTACTCTGCGAAGAACTCAATTCTCGGTGAGCAAGGTGAACGATACTTTGAATATCAATGAGTGTAATCTGATTCACCAATAAATCAACATAGTTTCAGACCGGCAGATTATACAATACACATAGACAGGTTAATATGTTTTACACTAGTGTTTTTCATATCACTATGGTGAAACTCACACTGCTGGATAAACATTGAATTGATATTTTGACCTCATTTCTGTGGTTTATTTCACGTGTAACCATCTGAAGACCGGCTCGATTGTATTACATGCACGACGGAGTTTCACCCTAGTGATATGAAAAACACATTTCACGACTACTGTATAGCGCGGATATCGGTTTTCCATGGGGTATTTCGCCACTTCACGTGAAGCGGGTGAAACTCCAACGAAGTGGATATTGTTTCTCATCCAAGACGTAAGCGTTTATTCAGATTCGACAACAAACGTCGTTCAGGAAGAAAATGTGGCCCCTCATTTGAAGGCGAGAATTTTGAATCCCCCAGTTCAAATTTTGCCCCTCGGAGATCCCATCGCGACCATAACTGCAGTGTAAGGCACTTCAGTGTGCAACGAATGAGTGCACCTCCTCATAGTTATGATGTTGATACTGACGACTGGGAGAGCACAAAGGAAGATATCACGAGTCGACTCGCAGTCGCACTCGACCGGGGAGGTGAATCTTTTTTGATATTTTTTCGGAATTTTATCGATATTTTTACAATATTTCTTCGATATTTCTTCGATATTTTTTCGACATTCTTTGGTAATTTTTTCGATATTTTTACGATATTTTCTGGATTTTTTACGATATTTTATGCCACATAGTATACATAAACACTGTCAAGGTTCAATCGATGACGCCCAGAAGATCTTGTCGTTCGACAGAGTTATGGATCTGTACATGGGCGGTTCATGTGAAGAGTGAGTTTGGGGCATTTATGAAGGCCGCGATTGTGTGTTTAGATTCTACCAGCGTTTTCCTGATGGAAGTATGAGACATTTTGGTGACAACTTTAACTTGGCGATTTCAGTTCCGAGTGGTACGGCAACTGCAAGAGCTCTTTCTGATGATGATATTCCAACCGCGACATTGTGGGATATCGCTGTTTCTGGTAGGGTGACTTCTATGATTGGAAAAAATCGTTATATTTGTTAACAATAGTGGAGTTTTACGCGAAGTGGCGTCGTAAAACTCTGTGAGAAACGCGATATTCGCGGTGATATGCAGTAGTCGTGAAATATCGCTAGTAGTTTTTCACTAGTGTTTTTCATATCACTAGGGTGGAACTCCAGTGGCACCAATATAGCGATTCATTCAGTTTAGTTCTCCAATATTTACCACTACAGTGAATCTATGTTCTTGTCACTATAGTGGCCGGGGAAACATATAGGAGATCCACAATAGACTGTTTCTGGTATAACAAGAACTAACAAGGTAAAATTCACTCTAATTGAATGCTCTCATGAAGTCGCTCTCGACGGAGTTGACCGAACGAGCTTCATAGGAAACTACGGAGCATATTCAGACTATGAATATGAAAAGATAATATGATATTCCTTTTCGAAGCAAACTCGAAATTTACAATTTTGATGTGACTCAGACTGGAATTCTTACAAAGCTTAGATATGATGCTCCTTAGGGAACTCAACGAGCTTAGCTTTGGCTCTGGAATCAATCACGAACACCAGCGATTCCAACAACACGTCAGCGGACGTATTGAATCGGAATACGACACTATCTGTTTCCAACGTAACGGAGCCTTCTAACGCGACAGCACATGAGGTGAATACGACAATACTTGAAAATGTAACGGAAGAACCTCCAAGTGGGTGAAGACAACGAGATTTGGAAAATCAAAAAAGTGCTCTGTCAATTGCAGCAATTACTCCGACACAAGCTCCTCAAGAAACGGAAATAAACCCAAGTTGGTTGCCGGAATGGCAAAACCGCGCACAGTTGAGGTGAATGGGAAAGGGGTTGTTGTTCCAGAGTTGTATACCCTTTGGAAAACTAAGTAACGCGCGAATGGTAACACGATATGCAAACATTTTGATATGTTTTATGTTTTGGACTTTGATTAGACAATAAACAATCCGTAAAATGTACAGTAATATTTTATTTCATCTGAGGAGAAGATGTACTTGAATGATTCGTATTATAAACAGGGTATTGTTGTTGTTGTGGTTTCAAAATTCCAGAAATGAGGTTGATACAGGGTCTGTATTACCGACTGTACTCTCTAGCTTGGAGAGATAACGTTCCCAATGGTTTGATAACAATGGAGTCTCACCCGTTTCACGTGAAGTGGTGTCAAACTCTGAGAAAACCACGGTATTCGCGGTGATATGCACTATCTCGTTGAGGTGGTCGTAGTTGTAGAACATAACATAAGTAGATTGGGCTTATAGTAAAGGAGATATAGCAGATAAAAAGTGAAAAATAGCCAAGAGAATGCAGTGATAATGCGAAGCTTGTGTGAGCACAGCTCGATTGTGTAACGTAGACAGTGCAAATATGCAGTAGTTGTGAAATATGTTTTTCATATCACTAGGGTGAAACTTCATTGGAATACTAAGCACCCCAAATCGTGTTAATTTTATGTTATAATAACGAAGAGCATTCTAATGCACACGCGCTCTCGATTTGTCACAACAAATATGACGGCATTAAAAATGCAGTGTCGGGTATTTTGAACAATTCCAGCCAGATTTCAGGACCATCACAGACGCGGCACTAGTCTGCGTTTCCCGAGAAAATATCAGTATAATTCTCGATCGAGTTCCACCCGTTTTACGTAAAGTGGCGTGATACTACATGTGAAAAACGCAACATTCGCGATTGGAAGCACTTCGCGAATTACACCGGACGAATCATCCCATATCACGCGTTATACAATCTTGTGCCGATTTCAGAACCATCGCAGATGCGGTGCTAGTCTGCGTTTCCCGAGAAAACACCAGTATAGTTCTGGACGGTCATGTAACAACAGCACTGTTGTGCAAAGCAACGTGTCACCATAGATACTACCAGCAAGTTACATCACCGGCATTCGAGATTCGGAAAATACGTGGGTACAAAAAATTGCTTTCCGCGACTAAGCCCTATGTAGATATCTGCATGGCACCGAATTGGTTCCTCTCGTGTGGTGGGTTGTCGGCCGGGAATATTATAGGAGTCTTGTGCTACTCCATGAACGCTGGAGAGACTACCGCAACGAGACGCTTAGTTTCCCCAATGTCATCAAATAATTTTGTGGCGCGTGACGGTGCATACTGGTGGTATTTTAGTATGAAGCCGTCCAGATAGCGCCTCCAGTTGTGTATAATGACATGCAGTGGTATACTGGCATCAGCGCGAACATCACAATTCCTGTATGCGAAACGCCTGTTTATGAGGTCAGTTACCATATATGAAAATGTGCACTATTTTCCGAGGTTAATGAGAAACTGAAACTATATCACATATAGGAGAAACACTAGTGAAAAACATATTTCACGACTACTGCAAGGCGCAAATATCGCGTAAATCACCGAGTTTTACGCCACTTCACGTAAAACGGGTGAAACTCCACTGAAGTGAAATGGTCATTTTCGTGACCGTTACTCGTACATAAACGCCGGCGATAAATTCACGCTCCATAACGGTCCAAATTTCTTCTATCAAATTGGAGAAACCGCGTCAGTTTTAATTTGTAGGTAACCGGATGCTTCCAGTTCACCCACACCCTGTATAGCTATTCTAACTTGACGTAAGCATCGTCGTTGTTGCCCAAATTGAACATGATAATTTGATCTCAGCGAATACGCGGTAAGATACTACTTCGAAATATGGCCTGTGTATTTCGCCTCAAGAGCGTCAGATGTTCAACTTAAGTTCAACCTGACGACCCCACCAGTGAGCAAAGCCTGGCCTCAGTGAGCACATGGGAAATGACGCCCTTGAATGAATATCTATTACAGTTCATGCTGGCTACATGTGTTGGTGAAAACGTGAAAATTATGAGGAGATTTGAGGAAATCCTCGTTGATTTCTGTACACTTCTGCGAAAGTTCGTAAGAGTAAACTTTGGAAACTTCTGAACTCAGTTGAGGAGAGCGAACATATATTTCTCCTACACTGTTACGAGCATTGCAAAGACTCCGTTTCGTGTCAGCTAGGGCTGCAATTTTGTGTATAAATTCTCCTAACATTATTATTATATTGGAGTTTCACCCGTTTCATGTGAAGTGGTGTAATACTCAATGTGAAAAACGCGTTTTCTCGCGGAGTGAAATGTGGAATATGTTTTTCACCAGTGTTTTTCATATCGCGGATGAAACTCCATTTTTCAAACATGGCAAGAATTGAATTCTGAAAATTTTTCTATTTCGTGAAGTATAAATGAGCACCTCAGGCTGACGTGGATCGTCCCTCCTGCAATCTCGAACGATCCCTGGGAGTTCAGAAGGTAACCGGTCCATAGTTGAGGAGAAATTCACTTTGTGGTTCCACAGCTTCCCGCATGATACATGGCGAAAACACGATCCCGAATGTGTGGGTGCTATGGCGTGTGACAGAATCAACATCGCGCCGAGCCCACGTTATGGACATACTGCGGTTCTCTACAAGTGAGCACAGGAAATCATCCAGGAACCTATAGTTTCACCCGTTTCACGCGAGGTGACGTATTACTCGGCGAAAAACGCGATATCCGTGCTAAGCAGTAGTCGTGGAATATGTTTTCATATCAACGGGTGAAACTCGAGTTCCGGTTAGAAATTTTGAACTTTCCACATGACTAGGAACATATTCTTCAATTAGTTTCATACCTTAATTTCATCACATTAGGACCATCTTATCAAACCTTGGAGAACATTATATCTTAATGTTGAATGGGTCTCGGAGTGTACAGTGGAGTTTCACCCTAGTGATATGAAAAAACACTAGCGAAATATATTCCAGGACTACTGCTTAGCGCGAATATCGGGTTTTTCACAGAGAATTACGCCACTTCACGTAAAATGGGTTGTGAAACGCCAGCGTTTTGGTGATGCTCCTGAGAGTCCTTGCATTAGGAGTTGGAATTTCGAAAGGGATGTGAGTAACCATCCTACGATGTGCAAATCGGTTGCCGCGACCGGGGATCGAACCTGCGGCCCTGAGTGCATCGAAGACACCTCGTGTCTGGCGCCAACAGGCATGGAAAACAGCTGGACTAATGATAGGTGGGATAACTCTAATGATATATTATTCATATAGGTATTTGGTTTTATTATATGGATTATATATATATATATATATATATCACTATTCTCAACTAGGCCTTTGTGACGAAGGGGCGGAGCTCACTGAGGCCACGTCCATGGACTCAATCAAAGAATTTTACCTAGGTCCCCGGTTCGATCTTCGGATCGGACATTTTTCCATCACTAAAGTTTTTCGTGCATATCTCTTCGAGCTGTTCGCATAATCGAGTTTTCCGATTTTTTCTTTGTTTTTTAATATGTCAATATATTATGGCTAGATAAAATATAGTATAGAATAAAATAGTGTAAAATAGTGTATAGTTAAAATAGTTAATAGTGTAAAATGTAAATACTAATATAGTATAAAATAGTGTATAGTTTATCACACATTAACGCTAGTTATATGAGGAGCACTAGTGGAAAATACATTTCACAATTCACTTGACGGAAAACAATTGTCGCGGAAACATACACATCTGATAATTTACAGGGAGTATTACGACGCCACTCCACGTTAAACGGGTGAAACTCCAGTGTGTGCCAACTTGATATGCAAATGCGCGTCATTTCCCCCTACTGATATTAAAAAGACTAGTGAAAAACAAATTTTAGGACTACTGCATATCACCGCGAGTGTCGTGCTTTTCGCCGAGTTTTACGTCAATTCACTTTCGAATTCAAGTCAAAAACTCGAGTCGAAAACGTTCGAGTTTTACGTGAAGTGGCGTCGTAAAACTCGGTGAAAAGCGCGATATTCGCGGTGATAAACAGTAGTCGAGAAATATGTTTTTCATATCACTAGGGTAAAAATCCAATGTTTTATATCATATCGCACAGTGAGTGGTTCGCACCTTAGTTTTCTGAAAACTTTCGTGGTTATACCACGCCATGTACAGCGTGAAGCGAATCATATATTGACAAAGCTGTCACGTTGATTCTTGAGAAACAACAACACTTTGTAGATATTTCGATACGGCTCAACCTGAATTCTGGACACTGCCATATTTCGATACGGACGATGGGGAAGCTTTTCCTAAATTCGATCATCACGACATCGAATGTCCCCCCTATTGTTGTGGTGAAGTGAGTCAAGCTCTCTTCCTCGGGGAAAATAATGGAGTTTCACCCTAGTGATATGAGAAACACTAGTGAAAAACATATTTCACGACTACTACAGGCCGCGAATATCGCGCTTTTCACCACGAGTTTTACGCCACTTCACGTAACGTGAAACGGGTAAAACTCCAATTTTCCATGAACGTATGCATCGTCAACTCAACAGTTGAAAACTCCGAAGATCAAAGAGTAGAAATGAAAAGTCACCATCTATAGACGGGAAAGAAAAAGGGGACAGACTTTGTGTCGCAACGATTGTCGACTGAATCGAGATACTACACATACGTGGAAAGTAACTAGACTAACGGGCTTTACCAGTGTGGGAAAATATGAACATGGTCAACTATATATGTTGGTGACAAGATGAAAATTCTGGGGAATTTCTCATTGATTTACCCGAATTCGTGTATAAACTCCTATAATTAGTGAGGAAACTTCTGAGCACAGCTGAGGAAAGCGAACATATATTCAAATACTGGGCTTTCCGAATCAAGTTTTTATCATTGGGCTCGTTTCGAACGATTACTGCGAGTGATGGTATGCACTTTGTCTCAGCGGCGTATGTGCTTGCGTACACACGATGAACATGGAAAAAAGATACCGTTTGATCGACAGTAAGGTAACGCTGAAACTTCACATCGCGAAAAGTGTAAAAAATTCTAACACTCCCCGAGATGTGTTGATGACAAAATGAAAATTCTGAGGAGTTTTCATTGGTTTCTGTACACTGCTACTCAAGTTCGTGCGAAATCACATCAATGAGAAAATTTCTGAGCGAACTTATATTTCTCCAACACCAGAGTATTTTATAAGGATTAAAAACATCTTTTAAAGGCGCGAAACTAATTAGAAATTTCTGTGAGCTCCGTGTGGAATTAAAAAACTCACGTGTATTTCACTACTCTAATGCTTATTGTAAACACGACAGTAATAAGCTTTAATAATTCACGAAGTGAGCACGCGTGAGCAGACCGCACGAAATGTAGGTCTTTCAGAACAAGAAGAATCTAAAACTCCAAAACGCATCTTCACGCCCTTGAAAAACTGGCCTAAAGTTGGGGAAAGCTTGCCAATCCTCGTCAAAACCCATTAATAGAATTATTAAATAAATTATTAATTTATTAATTAGGATTATTAATTTTTCGTTATTCTATTAGAATACTCTGTCCAACGCTCGACAGATATCTTCTCGTATTCGGCGGACGCACCTATGAAGGTCGAGAATATAAAGGGAAAACTGTTTATAATCATTGCGAAGAAATCCTGAGGGAAGAGACAAACGTTGATGAAGAACTTCGGGGATGTCTCGAGTGAGCTTATTGGAGTTCAACTCGTTTTACGTGAAGTGGCGTAATACTCCATGTGAAAAACGCGATATGGAGTGAAAATACTCGGCGAAATACACTGGACGGAGCATCCCATCTCACGTAAAACATACCACGTGTTTTACGCGTTTTTCGCGGAGTGAAATATGGAATACGTTCTTCACTAGTGTTTTTCATATCACTGGTGAAACTCCATTTTAGTCTCCTCCATTTTTGGCATGCAACAAAGTAAATAGGGAGGGGCCGCATGCTGATTTATGATTGATGAACTCCGTCTGCTGCATGGAGTAATGCTGTCACCATTTCAATGGGGCTTCACCCGTGATATGAAAAACACATTCCACACATCGCGAAAAACGCGTAAAACACATACGGTGCTTTTTTACTCACTGCGTTTTTACGTTGGTAGATATCAAAGCGAAGAATTGTGGAGATATGATTTCGTAGAAAACAAATGGGATTTCATCAAACCAATGGTGAGTAACTCGATTTAACAATGGAGTTTCACCCTAGTGAGATGAAAAACACTAATGGAAAACATATTTCACGACTACTACATAGCGCAAATATCGCGTTTTTCACGACGAGTTTTACGACGCCACTTCACGTTAAACGGGTGAAACTCCAGTACATTGCAATTCAATTCGATATTCAAATGTGAAAAAATATATGCGTTATTCTCCGTGATTGTTGATAATCAATCTGAAACTATAACGCATATGCAATATTAATGCATATCACCGCGAATTTAGCGTTTTTCACCGAGTTTTACGCCACTTCACGTAAAAAAGGTGAAACTCCAATAAGCACGCTAATTTTCTTTCCCTTGAAAAAAGAAACCATGTTGGTCTCCCTCAGACCTCTGTTGACGAATCGACAGGGCAAGAGGTTGGAGTTCCCCAAGGACGGTACGGGCATGCAGCTACTATGGTTGTTATGGACGCACTATATGATCCTGATTCGATTCGCAGACAGTGAGTGATCTGGTTGAATACGAATTCACAGTGGAGTTTCACGACTACCCGTTTTACGTGAAGTGGCGTCGTAATACTCTGTGAAAACGCGATGTTATTCGCGGTGATATGCAGTAGTCGTGAAATATGATTTTCATATCACTAGGGTGGTGAAACGCCAGTGTTGTAATTTTACACCTTTTATGAGTAACCGCCCGTTGTATGATAGCTCACTAACAGTTAGGAACTTTACGACGAGTTATGATATTCAGTGCGAGATAATATTAACATGGTTAACTCCGTGTGATGGTATTTCTGGACATTCGAAATTGCGCATATTTTTTCGCATTGGTCGTCACAGTAGAGCACTTTTTCTGATTCTTTATATCGGCGAGGTTTTTATAGCTCTGAAGAACCACTCTTAGGCGTTACGCGATAGAGGCGGTATGAGAAAATATGCACATGGTCAACTACATATGTTGTTGACAAAATGAAAAAAATGAGGAAATTTTTGTTTCTGTACACTTCTACCCAAAATCATGTGGAAACTCTTATATCAAGTGAGAAACTGAGAATATGCACATGGTCAACCACATATGTTGTTGACAAAATGAAAAAATAACTAAATTTTGGTTTCGTAAAGTGGATATATATTCCAAAACTATGTAAACTAGGTACATGTACATCTTCGGTGGTATGAGTAAGAACTGTCTCAATGGTTTTTGCAAAGATATGTGGAGAATCGAAGTTCCCTGGGCTCCTACTGCGTAAATCCAAATTATGATTGATTCGCTCAACTGTGTGTAAGGTATTGGCCTACGATGACACCACTGAATAGGTGGCGAGAGAATCGACCGTCGCGATGGGTTAAAATGGAGGATTGTAAATACGGTGGCAGGTGGGTAGGGAAGGATTCAGTCTGCGACTGATGTATTTATATAATGGAGTTTCACCACCCTAGTGATATGAAAAACACTAGCGAAAAACATATATCATAATTCACTTCGCAGAAAACATTTGTATTATCTATCGCTGAAACAAATACGCCCTATATTTCACATGCAGTATTGGAGTTTCACGACTACCCGTTTTACGTGAAGTGGCGTCGTAAGACTCGGTGAAAAACGCGATATTCGCGGTTATACGCAGTAGTCGTGAAGTATGTTTTTCATGTCACTAGGGTGGTGAAACTCCATCGGATGTGTGGTAGATTCCGACACCGAATGGAGGCGTCTCCGTCTGGTGATATCATATTTGTATTTGGCGGCAGTGTTGGTGGCAAATGGGAGAATTCTCTGCTATTGTAAGTTGTACATTTTGTGACGATGTTTTGGTATGGAAAAACGTATGTGGGAAAGTATGCGTGTTGGCGACTAGTGAGGAGATATCGAAAAAATTCTCGCTGATTTTTATGTAATCGTGTCCGACGATTTCATAAGAACTAGCAAGAATTTTTTTACACATAGTTCGTGAAAAATTCAGAAAAAAAACACACACAATTCGTATGTGAGTTTTCATGATGTGGCTTTCGAAAATTTCTGTGCTCAGCTGAAGAAAGCAAACAAATATTCCAACACTGCTTATCATCAATGTTTGTCGATCTGGGCAGCCCAGTGTTGGAGGAAAATGTGGTAGATTTCCACAGCTGAGCTCAGGAGTTTAAATAAGCTTCACCCTAGTGATATGAGAAACACTAGTGAAAAACATATTTCACGACTTTTGCATATTACCGCGAATATCGCGTTTTTCACAGAGTTTTACGACGCCACTTCACGTAAGACGGTCGTGAAACTCCAATTTCCCAAAATTCCCGCAAATTTTTCATATTGCCACCAATACATGTAGTCGTTGACCATGTGCATGAACATGCGAGGACATGTATATAGTTGAATTTTCAACGAATTAAGATACCGTACATCGTCGAATTCCTGGGACATTGAGGAGACTAGAGGCTATCGCTACTTCACACGAAGTGTCATAGACTACCTCGGCAACCAGCAGACCACAGTGGTGAGAAAAAGTATATAACTGATATGATATAAATTATGTGTTGGCGTTCACACAATTTTTTCATAACATTTCATAAACCTAAGTAGTAGGGAAGAATATTTCTTCCCTACATATATTAACGATATAATAGTGTTAGGAGAGTCTATGTAGAGAATTTCAGCTAAATTTGAGCTTCCGGTTGGTATAGGAAACGGACTCTTCAGATTGGGGTATAGGGAATGTAAATACCAATTATCATCGTTCGTAAATCGGTGATATACGACTTCAGATTCCCGACTTGTCCGAATTTCAAGAGGACAAACCCGACATGGACATCTACGGTCCGCAAGCCCCACGTGAAGACGCGTCGAGTAAATCACGAGGCTTGAGTTGATCTTTCGAATCGACTCTTGTGTAGGTGTTTCCCTTGAAAACGATTTAAATTTCCCATCACAGCAAGCAGTGGAAAGAGGTATGTATAGTTTTTAATGGAATCTCACCCTTGTGATATGAAAAACATATTTCACGACTACTACAGGCCGCGAATATCGCGTTTTTCGCCGAGTTTTACGACGCCACTTCACGTAAAACGGGTCGTCGTGAAACTTCAACACTAGGGAATACACGTTTGGTTCCCTCGTGAGTTTCCTCGCTACATTATGGAAATATGAAGATGATTTTGGGTAGAAGTATACACATATCAACGATAATTCCCTCAGAAATTTCATGTTGTAGTTTCAGCCGCAATATGAAAAACGCTAGTGAAAAATATGTATCACGACGATTAATGCATATCACCGCGAATATCGCATTTTTCACCGAGTTTTACGCTACTTCACGTGAAACGGGTGGAACTTTATTTTTTTCAACACATGTAGTTGATCATGTGCGTATACTTTCACAATGAGCCGCTAGTGTAGAACATACTCGTCTTTTTGATAACGAATAGTGATAATATTCTTTGATTTGATTTTATTTTTAATAGATTCCTTCATTACTATTTTATTCTCCCTTCGTTATTATCGCGGGTACTAATTTGCCACGGTTAGGTCATGATGAACAAAAAAGTGTTGAAATATATGACTTGTTTCATATAATCCCATACGTTTGAATTCTGGTAGAAGTATACAGAAATCAATAGAAATTACCAAAAATTCTCTTGAAATTTTCATGTGTTTTCATTTTCCCACATTTTCAGGTGATTTCGCGATGACTATGGTGAGAACTCTTTCACAAACCAGCGAGGAAGGAGCGCTCATTGTGGGTTTGAATAAATTTTATTTTTTTTATTTTTTTAGTTTTCAGATCATCGGTGGTTTCCGAACGTATGAATCACCCTATCCCAACGCTGATGCTTTTCCATCATATTCGTATGGATTTTAAATGTCGAGAAGTTTTATTATTTGGTGTAGATACTATTTGGACGATGTGTGGTATTACAGTACATCTGGTATGCTATGGAAGGAAATATTCACCCTTGAGAAGGAGCCGTCTAAACCGCATGTAAGAAACCTATTTTTTCCTTGTTTTTTTCAGGTTTTTTTCCAAATTTTTCCCGAATTTTTCGTTTTCTTGATAGCCGCAATTAAGTGACTAGTATCGCTATCATTGTGATTGGACTCTCGAATGCAGTTTGCTCCGTTTCAAGTTGTCAGAAGGAACATCAGTGTTATATAGGAGCACTCTTTTGATGATTTTCTATTCCACTTGTATCACCAGGCTAGGCGAGGATCAGCTGTGGTCACATTACGAGACCGATCGGGCGATGCTCAGCTTCTTATGTTTGGTGGACGACATCACGATGAGCTCTTCGATGATATGTGGGTAAGAAAGGGGATAAAAAATGTCGGTGATTTTTTTGGTAGGTTGCGAAAAGTTTGATTTAAATAGAATCGGAAATAAACTGTGCGTGTTGATATGGAAATGTGGAGTATTTTGGGAATTTTCTATTTATCGCATATACAATGTAACATGTGTTGTGATGAAAGTACTCGTTTGGGAGTGTGATGATAGCGACAACTTGTTCACTATAATTTTTCTCCAAAATAACACACATTTGCATATCAAATAGACACGTACTGTATGTGGTTTGATACTAGTATGAATTTCGAAAAGAATCACCAAAAACTATAGATAAATGCTATAGTACGAAAGTCGTTTTAGTTTTTTGCTACTGTGTTGAAGGGATACATGTTTGCTTTCCTCAGCTGAGCTCAGGAGTTTCCTTACTAATTATTGAAGTCTACATATGAATTTGGCTAGAAGTGTACAGATGCCCAAGGAGAGCTCCCCAAAATTTCCTGGGAATTTCCATATTGTCATCATCACCAACACATGTAGTTGATGACCATGTGCATATCCCTTTCCCCCCACATTTTCATATTGTCATCATCACCAACACATGTAGTTGATGACCATGTGCATATCCCTTTCCCCCCACATTTTCATATTGTCATCATCATCACCAACACATGTAGTTGATGACCATGTGCATATCCCTTTCCCCCCACATTTTCATATTGTCATCATCACCAACACATGTAGTTGATGACCATGTGCATATCCCTTTCCCCCCACATTTTCATATTGTCATCATCACCAACATATGTAGTTGATGACCATGTGCATATCCCTTTCCCCCCACATTTTCATATTGTCATCATCATCACCAACACATGTAGTTGATGCCCATGTGCATATTTCCCCCCACATTTTCATATTGTCGTCATCACCAACATATGTAGTTGATGACCATGTGCATATCCCTTTCCCCCCACATTTTCATATTGTCATCATCATCACCAACACATGTAGTTGATGCCCATGTGCATATTTCCCCCCACATTTTCATATTGTCGTCATCACCAACACATGTAGTTGATGACCATGTGCATATTTTCTCACACTGTCAATGGAAAACTCCTAACCGCTGTATTTTCTCTGGAATAAATCCTAGAGAATGAAAATAACTAAATTTACAAGATCAGTGATTAGTTGTTATATGATGCCCATTAGTAACGCCACTGCAGTGTGTTCGATTTTTATTGTCCGAAACGGAACGCGTGCATAGCTCTTCGAATACACAAGGAAAATATCACATAATATAATAACCAAATATACAATTGCTAACATCGTGTCACTGTATGTAAGAAAAAATGAGGGCGAATTGCAAACTGGAATGTGGTCAGATCCTGGACGTGCAGCGATCACCGAAGAAAACGAGAAAATGGAAAAGAATCGACCAGACGATACGAGGCGTAGAGCCGCCAGCTACAGCATATCATACGTGGGGTTTGCGATTGCTGGTAAATTGAGCTTTCGAACACAAAATGAGTGAATTTAGCGCAGAATCAGGAAGATGACAAATATAACTCGACACATGAGAAATGCGGTTCAAAATTTATAGATTTCTTGTTGAAATCGTCTCGTCCCGATCACAGCGGAGCGAAGTGTTACACGCAGTGTTGGAATATATGTTCGCTTCCATCAGCTGGGTCTAGAAGCTCCTTCACTAATTAAACGAATTTGGGTAGAAGTGTACAGAAACCAATGAGAATTTCCGCAAATTTTCCCAACACATGTAGTTGACCATATGCATATTTTCCTACACCGGTTTCACGATGTGCATCAACGAATGTGTTCGCAAGAGCGACGTGAAGATGAGCTACCGATTGATACACGTCAGATTGAACTACGTCGAGAGTGCCACTGACGATATGATGGTGCTGTTCGGTGGTCTCACATGGTCGGAAACGCGTATTGCAGAGACTGATGCTCTTCGCGATTTGGACAGGAGATGTTTTAAATTGGCAAAAGTCAGATGAACATGTTTTGGCGGCGCACACTGGCAATTGTGTGTTAGGAAATGAACAGTCACTTCTGCACAGATGATGGAAGTTATTGTGATGTACAGAAAGCTCTAGAGAGTATCGAAATGAGGTGTAGCAGTACGGACCCTGCTGCCGCCTTTTGTTGCGAGGTGTGTTGGATTCGGACGACAATGTTGCGCGCTGTTGCTGGTTATGAATTGTATCTATATTCAAGTCATCTTTGCTATATTGGAGTCTCACACTAGTAATAGTGAAAAACATATTTCACGACTACTGCATATCACCGCGAAAATCGCTTTTTTCACCGAGTTTTACGACGCCACTTCACGTAAAACGGGTAGTCGTGAAACTCCATTGTATTAAATACCATATTCAAAGATTCTGAATTTCATATTCTATTTATGTAGTATCACGATCTACCGAAATATTTATTCGTATTATTATTCAAGATTTACCAGCAGCCTTTTTAATGTCTATAGATTAAAGTATATATATAATTATCAATCGACTGGAAAACGATCCCAATACACAATCGTTAGTAATAACTACATAGCTTTCTTCCATAACCAATGTACTGTTATCAACTGTATATAGCTAATCTCTCTATCTGTTCTGTTCCACTTGTAGCGTCTAGTAGTATGTCTGAAGTACTAGTGAACATACTGTGACATACTGCGATATTCGCGGCCTGTAGTAGTCGTGAAATATGTTTTCCACTAGTGTTTTTCATATCACTAGGGTAGTGAAACTCCACTGTTTTAGTAGTAGGTTTACTAGTAACAGGTACATAGCTTTGTTCCATAACCGATGTACTGCTATCAACTCATGAATTGCCGTTGATCCCTAAAGATAAAAGGTTGATGGAGCTATGAGGAAGACTAGTTTGACAGGAGTTTCTTTTCTTGTTTTCTTACCGAACAATCCTCGTGAGCTTACCATTCGCTTCCCAATGTATAACTACCTATTCCAAGTTGTGATGTGACAGTTCCCAAGGTGTTAAATTGATCTGTTCGATCAGGTTCTTGCCGAACGCGATACCATCACATCGACAACAGTTTTGTCAGAAAAATGCAAAGCATTGTGCCAGGCGAACGCATTTGCCGCAGAGTTTGATCCTCGAATTTCCGAGGGTCTTTGGATATTTCACCCGAATCGCTGTCTGAACGATTGCACATCATCGAATAACGGGAGATGTGTAAGCGAATATGAAACAGCTGAAAGTTCGAATAACAAATTTCTGCAAATTGAAAGCTGAAAATTGAAAAAAAAACATTTCCGATGAGCCGTGAATATTTGTGCATACATAGGGATATGGGAAACTCACTCACATACGGTATTGGTATTTTGATATTGTCATTGCGAATCTATTCTACGAAAAATGAGGTGCAACGAGATCTACTCGTGATCATGTGTTATGAGAAGCGTAATTTAATTTTTAGGCAAAAATTAAAAATCAATGTTTCTCCTCAAGTTTTTTTCCTGGGTTTTCAAGCTGAAACTTTGATATTATCTAACCTTAGTTTATCACTTCATTTCTGTTGTTTACAATTATGCCATTGAACTCACTTGTTATGTTCGTAGGAGCTCTCACGTTGTATTTGTAATGTTGGCTGGTTCGGCGAAGACTGCAGTAGACGACTTTGTCCAGGCAGTTTCTGCGTTACTGATGAGCATACAATAACGCAGAATTGTGAGATGCCAACACACTATCATATTATGACAATTCCCTATAGGCACCTTCTGTAGCCAACGAGGCTCATGCCTCTCTAGTGGTGAATGCTCTTGTCACGATGGCTGGTCCGATAGGGATTGCTCTAGTGCTGCTTGCCGAAACAACTGTACGTGTTGATGAAATATAACTGGCGAATGATCACCATTTTAACTCCTGAGGACAGGCTCTTGGGATGATCATGATGTTTTTTTCCGAGATCTACAGTGTGTTTCAATATGCAAATGTGGAAAAATGTGTGTTATTTTCTGAGATTAATGCGAATTGATCTGAAACTATATCGCACGAATGATATCAACATTAAAAATGTGATGTGATGAAAGTAACCGTTAGAAATTGTGATAGCGACAAGTTGTTCACTATCATTAATCCCAGAATAGAAAACGCACACTCTCTGCATATCAATGGCACGCATTATATAACCCCCTGCGGTCGCTCGTGTGGTTAAAACAAGCGCCGTTGTTTGAAGTCTGTATGTTCCTTATAATTTCACGTATTTCATTAAAATTGTAGGCAATTCATTAGAACCAAGCGGGAAAAGTTGAAAAAGGCCTTTTTTCCAGAGCAATGGAAAAAAACTATATTGGAGTTTCACCTGTTTTACGTGAAGTGGCGTAAAACTCGGTGAAAAACGCGATATTCGTGGCCTGTAGTAGTCGTGAAATATGTTTTTCACCAGCGTTTTTCATATCATGGGAGAAACCCCATGAAATTACCCTGGAAATGCTGTAGAAGGCAAGCCCCTCAAATGATGATATTTTTTCGAGCATTAATGCACCTTTTTATGACTTCTGTTTTATCCGAGTGATCTTTAGAATTACATTTTTCGCTGAATCCTTCTCATCGACAGTGACGACAAAATCGGTTTACCAGGTTCCTCTACACCCGAGGTCTCCCGAGGAATTTGTATAACAGATTTTCCCCATCATCAATGTCATTGTCTCGACAGGTAAGTCAGTCTTATGTGAACCTTGATACAATAACAGGTACGCCGGACACTCCTGTGAAAGGGAGATGTGTGTGAGCGACTGTAGCGGCCATGGACAGTGTGTCGATGGTCAATGCTTATGTGAAAAGTAATGAGTGACTGTTATCGTCTACTACTCATGTGTATCAGTTTCTACTATGGTGACGATTGCAGTATTTTTATTCCACGCGCAGGAACACTTCAGAGGACTTATTCGATGACACTGACAGTCGTCCTCTCTAGTCTTTACATTCCTTGAATGAATTCGATTGTTTCTCATTTCCAATGATGTTATGTTTTGGCCATTCTCATTTTGATGAAGTTAGTGAAACCAATTAATTTCCAGAGTCGCTCAAGTACTCTCGAAAATAGATGTTGACAGGCAACTTATGGGTGATTTTTCACCTACATGAAATTTTCTACACTGTTGTTACGAGCTTAATCATTTTGGCACTGTATTAACTTTAATGTCTGTCCCGTAGTGAAAGCAGTTCGTTCAACACAACATCATTTCCCATTTAATGTGGTCACAACTAGCAAGACATGATTTGTTCATTCCATCTCATGCATCGACTTTCACCAAATGCCCTAAAACAATACATAACTAATCATTGGTAAAAGTGCGAGTCGATATACCTTCTTTAACGTTATAATGAACATCGTGCAGACCGGCGAGCTTTTCCGTGTTATGACTAACCGAAAGGACCCCAGTAGTTGGTGGTAAATTCTTCCGTAAAGTCTTGTACAACTCAGCGTGCTGGTCAGCGGCCAAATTGCTCGTACCTAAAACGTGTTTGGGAAACACCTCGATATTCTATAGTCTTTCACTTTCATCTAAGAACAGCCACTCAGGCTTGCTGAGCAAAGCATGAGCCATCTCGAGCCGCTGGGCCTCGCCAGCCGATAGAATCATTGACCAGTGTTCGCGACGATCGAGTGGATGTGGCGATAACAGAAGGGCCTTAGTCGGCTTGGGCAGCTCCAGTGGGGTAGGTGGGGGAAAGCTCGTCGAGAGAAGCTGAGAATAGCCGAGCATGGCAGTCCAGGAAAAACATCATCATCTTACATGTGTGAGACCAACCAAATGAAGAACGCATTCAATTTGGCGATCAGAATAGACAGAGGTATCCTCTGGATAGCAAACTGCCTCTCTAAGTGAACCTAAATCGAATATTACTAATAATGGAGTTTCACCCGCGACATGAAAAACACTAGTGAAAAATATATTTCACGACTACAGTATACCGCGAATATCGCGTTTTTCACAGAGTATTACACCACTTCACGTAAAACGGGTCGTGAAACTCCAATATTGAATACGACATTCATGATAATAGCACCCCATCTGATATTAAAATATTGTACGTTAACGAATGCCATTTATAATAACATCTGATTATATTATTGCATACCCAAAATAGAAATATTTTTCAAAGACTCGTACGACTAGCAATCTTGCAATCTTACCATCTCTCAACGGAGCTTTTCTCGATGGCAAGAACAACGACCTGTCCCCTGGGGGTATCTTCAATCGAGAATTTGGACCCACAAACCTGTGCGAAAATCTAAATCAGGCGGAGCGAAGCAGCACAGATTGCTTACGGCCAAACCCCGGCCAGGGCCCTCAATAGACTGGTCTTTCCGCTGCCTTCGGGACCGCTTAATAATGCCCATTCGCCTTTGCCGATTTTCAAGTTCACTTCGGTGAGGAGGGCGAGATCGTCCTCTTCCTTGCCTGGTAAGAAGAAGAGGCCTTTGGTCTCCGTTGGGGTGTAGACATCACAGGACTCGAGAGACAGCGAATCGTCGTCGCCTGAGGAGAAATAATTCAACTTAGTCAGGAAGAACTCGTTGAAACCCACCAGGGATAGGTTTTAAACCACTTCTTGATTTCGATAGAAGATTCAGCGTCGATTCGAACTCATAGAGACGATTGCCAGCAGCTCGCCACTTGATAATTATACCTGCAGGACGATGATGATGATGATGATGATGATGATGATGAATATGATGATGAATATGATGATGATGAATATGATGAATATGATGATGATGATCGTCAAGGCCCACTGCTCACCGTAAGACTGTACAAACCATTTGAGGGCCTCCAAGACATATCGTAAAGCATGCACCGTCTGATTCAAGTGACCGAGGGTGATTTCACTCGAGAAGTAGGCGCCAGACAGAACCTAAAATCAGCAGTGGGAGTTGCTACGGTCACTGAGAGCGTACGAAGAGAGGAAAAATGCTGCCAGTGTACTCGAAGAAGGAGTCGAACAACTTCAGGCGTTTCGTGACGAACATAGATTCGTATCTGAGAAGTGCCATGCCAGGGAATCGAACCTCTGCGGCAAACCACTGCTCACGTTATGCGTTTGATGTTCATAAAGCTCCTCTCTAGTCTGGACAATTCTCGATCTACACAGTCAACTTTGCATCCTCAGGAGAGGCCCTCCGACTAACCTTGCGCATGGAGCATCGCCACAGCCTCGCCATGGTCTCTGATTCGGATAAGATCCGATCGAAAGTCCGCCTCAACTCGCTGAGCCGCGTAATCAAGAACCTGCTCAACCGTTCACCGCTACCCCCGACATTGAGTGCTCACAATCAGCCGCTGCCCAACCAGATGAGTTCCCAGGGAGCCCAGAAGGCAGTAGACCAGAGATGTATACCTGCAGCATAGAGGCATGCATGAGAACGTAGCAGAAGATAGTTACAATAGCCATCCCGGAAGTCGGAGACCATGTACTCCGAATGCGTCCATCGGCGAAAGTCGGAACAATAAGGGTAGAAAGACAACTAAAAATGAGGAGTGATATCATAGGGTAGTTGCTGTTACTCACTAAGTGTTCCTCCAGAGAGCATGATGCCCGAAACGAGCGACCAACTTGCGTCGGTGAAGACGTTAACCTGTACGAGAACTTGTTACTCCGTGATATTCTCTTCAGCTCACATCGTTTGCGATCCGCTGGTCGGGATTGTCCAGAGTCGTCACTCTCGTCGTAGAGCCTTCCAGACCAACCAACTGCAATCTGTAGTGCCTGATAATGATTAAAATGTGCTTCGCTCCGCCCGGGAAGAATCTCTCACGCTGAATCTTTCAACCACATCTTCTGTAGCCTCGCCGTATGATGTGCTCGCCATTCCAAGAGGAACATCGAGCGAAGATACATACCATACGCCGACAGGAGGATGTCTCCAACGATGCAGAATATCTGAGCAGTCGACTTCGGGGAGAAGTTGGGATCCTTGGTAGATGTCTGCTTACGAAGTTGCAAACGTTGAGGAGGAAGTTCTCAAAGTCTTTAGATTGGATGCAGTTCCAATAGCGAGCTGTGATGTCGTTAACCAAATAAGAGAGCCCAACGTTGCATAGAGAGAGGAGAGTGAGTACCTTGATCGACGTGAGAAACATTCCTCACACACATCGGCTGTGTGGTCTAGTGGTATGATTCTCGCTTAGGGTGCGAGAGGTCCCGAGTTCAATTCTCGGCACAGCCCTTTTAACAGCATCTCACCAAAGCATATCTCCACGAGCTCTTCTTCCGCGTGCTCCCCGTAAAGTAAGGCTTTATCAGCGACAACATCTTATTCAACTCTAGAGGGTTCGTATTGCCTAATAACAACTCGATCATCACCGAAATTATAGTTGGCGACTCACCTCCTTGGGTGTTCTCTTGAGGAGTCGAGATGCTCTCATTGAAGTCAGTCTCAGACCAGCTCAAGTGGAGATATTCGAAAACAACAACCAGTACCTGATCTCAACACTGTAAGTGGTTGAAAAGAATTGAAGGAACTCACAAGAAGGAGGCTCAGCATAGCTGCATATATTGGCCACGGCTGAGCCGACTTCCGACCCTCATCATCGCTACCGTTCACTATCACTGGGAGGTGTCCCCCTAGAGGTGGTCCTTGAGCCTGACAAAGACGATGACGGCTGTCAGTTTAAGCAATGCACGAACGACTTTCAGCATTCACGATGAACTATCTGACAATTTGGTCTAGTGTGCCCTATATCTGTAACACAGTCGAGTTATAGAGATTAGTACTGGGCATTCCGACATCCTCTATATGATATCCTTCCCTATGAACTCAATCTACTACTGTATGGCAATGCAAGTGTCGTGGAACAGCTCACCTTGCTTGTTAGATTCTCACTAGGTCCGACAATAAAGGCGTTCATCAGACTGTCAGTGCTTATAAGCGATGACTCTATACCATGTCTCCACAAAAACGGCTCATCCACCTCCACCAAATCGCTGCCGCGTAGAGCTCCCGGCTGAACCAACATAGGTCCCGAGTTCGACTCGCGGTGACGACACCTCTCACCTCTCCTTGGCTGCTGTCCATGTCCGTAGGAAGCACATTTCGATTGAGCCCTCTAGCCTCGCTACATGGATTCATAGAAGTATCATCGCATGGTGTCTGCTCTACGAATGAGCTCGCCCGAACCACCTCAATCTAACAGGAAAGCAAACACTTGCTGAGTTGTAAACACGATGACCAACTTTGTAGTCGTCACCGCTGAACGATCGGAATATTGAAAATCAATTTACTCGCTGTAACGACTTAATATCGACACTACTAGGCTGCTAGCCACTTACCGTGTGATGGAAGAGGACGAGGAGGCCACAGATGAGCCGAAGAGATGTAGAATTGACAAACATGTTAGAGTGTGGCAATAATTGCTGTAATTAAAGCCTATCCCTAGCGGTATTAACAACTCAGAAGGAGCATGCATAAGTGAAGCGATACAAGGGAGTGTTGAAGGAATATACGTATGCTTTCCTCAGCTGAGGCTCAGGAGTTTCCAAAGCTAATTATACAAGTTTTCATGAGAATTCGGGTAGTAGAAGTGTACAGAAACCAACAAAAAATTCCCAAAATTTCCGCAGAAAATCCATACTTTACACGTAGTTGGCGCGTGGACATATTTTCCCCACATTACAACAGGCCCATGCCCGGCTGACTACTACCACTACTTATTAAGTAGTACTTAACCATAAATTCGGTCCTCTGAATCTTCCGTCAAAATATTCCAAAACAGATACTTCCATTTTTACTCACCAACATCACCATCGAGCTTTAAATCCTCCGACAATAGGTGACCATCACTTCACCAACATTTCTTAATATTTCCACGCCACGTATTTGCCTTGGCAGAATGCATGAGTCGGTGTAACCTCATCAGAGCCGCCTCGAGAGCGCTCGAGGATGGCCTCTATATAGCGGCTGATTTCATCGCATGCTATGCTACGTCAACCTTGGTCCAAGGTCCTTGGATGATCGCGCTGTGCGATTTCAAGTTGCGCACATAATCGATCACTTGGGCGCGCGCAACTCTCTCGCTGGGACGTGCTTCGCTCCGCTACCGCGCGCTGTCCCTATTTTCTGTGCAGTACTGTCCTGCGTGCTACATACATAATTGCTGTATTAGTAGCATTATTACGATACATGATATTATCACAATGATACTTATACCTCTATCATGTGGGGTTGAAGAATATGATGAGAAGTGTTGTGAACAATTGATCTGTTTATCATGCATGTGCTTGTATAATGTGTTTGGATGAAAAAAGCGTACCATATACGCGTAGTCCACACCTGTTGGTACAGGAAGTGTAGTCTAACAGTGTAGACTTCATGCCATGCTTTGTGACAGTACTACTGTTCAGCATACGAGTTCACCACCACTGATAACTCAACACCGAGTAACTGACGTTATTGAAAAGTTGATACTCCGACCATCGTAAGGAAGTTACTAGGAGTAAACCGCAATATATGAGGACTGAAATTAACCCCTTTGCGAGCTGCCGACGCCGACACGTCATATCCAAGCTCCAATGGTGACGGTGGCGACAACGTCAGCGTGCAAGGCTTGTCCAGATGAACTCGATCCCATAGAGACAACCTAAAGCATAATCGTTGAGTAAATAATTCCGGTCGTCAACTCACTTCCCGGTGTCATCGGCTGAAACGAGTTGTTCATAGCCGTACTGAGGCGGTACCGGCATACCGTCGAGACCATGCGACATCCCAGCGACCGGCCAAGACCAAGTCAAACACGTCCTGACAAAATATCACATCGAATATAGTCACAAAAATGAAGCTCTCTTTATATCACGACACATAGTTGATTTCGTGGCGGCAAATACTATTTGCCAAATAGGATAAATTTTCCAAAGCTAGAATTTTTCTACACGACAGTTGCTTACACTGGCGATCCAGTCGGATGGTTGCAAAGTCGCTGCCCGGTCTTCCGTAGATCCCAACATAGCAGGCGTCCTGAGCCAACAGAAACTCATTGACAACCACAATGACCACTCACCTGCCGAAGTTCCTGCAGCTAACTGCTCTCCACCATGTGAGAACTCCATGGACAGCACTAGGCCCGCACCAGGGGGTAGGAAGAGCTTACGAGCACCTGCACAGATGCTGGGTCGTCAACATGGACCTCTCTTCCCTATAGCTAAGAAATATTCATATTCATACTGGGAGATCGAATATCGCAGTATGAACATAACACACATACGAATGACCGTATGGGAGAAATACGGGACGAAATGGAACTCAACGGAGCGGAGACTAACGAGCCGCAGAAGGGCGGCTACAAAAGGAATCATGTTGGCGGCAAATGACCAGAGAATGGCTGTGCCGCGTCCACGATTGAGAAGAAGAAGAAGAAGAACATAACACACTATAGTAGTATTTCTCAACTTCGAGATTCGCAGTTTGACTGCTACGATAAAAACAACAACAGGAATCATAACAGATATTCGAATACTCACATCTCGGAGTGGCAACATCCCATAGCTGTATGACTTCGCCTTGCGCGACTGCCACCATCTGTCCACTTGGATGCCAACACATTTGGTTGAATCTGCGCATCATACTAGCACGGTAGATGTTATTGATATGCAAATGTGGAGAATTCGCGTTATTCTCCGAGACTAATGATATGCAGTTTGAAATCAAATCACATATACTGTGATATGAAAAACACTAGTGAAAAACATATTTCACGACTACTGCATTTCACCGCGAATAATATCGCGTTTTTCACCGAGTGAAACTCCATGGCTATGAACATGTGTTGTGATCAAACATCACTTACTGTAGACGAAACTACTCCCCGACCTACCCACAAGAGAGCCTCTTGCCATGCGTATCCTCTACCAAGACTCTAAGGCAAACAGGTACATCTGTTCGCCATAAACGACAGTCCACTCCCGACAAGTTAGCCGATGGTGCCGTCGTACACATATAGTATCTATACGAACACTGATAGAAGTAAACCAACTCTGCCACACCCTACGATAGGGGACTCCACTTCAATGCCCACAAAGGGTTTGTCGAACCGTAACCGCTGTAGGCAACTATTTTACACAGCTTCTCGATACCTGAGCACTCCCTAGTGATAACGAATAAAGCACGACAGACAGCAACGGGAACATCCCTTAATAGAATATCCGCCGCGATTATATGTATTTTTTCCGAGATATATATTCGCTTTTCTCAGGAGTTCCATCACCATTTATAGAAATTCACAGGCGAATTCGTGTAGAAGTGTACGAAAACCAATGAAAATTTCTCAAAACTTGCTGAAAATTTTCATATTCTTATCGACACACGTACAGTGCGCCGATTTAAAGTGTGGTAAATTAGTAAGAATCGATCTGAAACTACACAGTATAATAAATGCAAACATTGCTATGAGCATGTGATTCGGTACTGTTATAGCGACGACTTGTTCACTATCATTAATCCCGGGGAAATAGCAACACACATTCTCCATATGTGCATATTCCCCCACATTCCCACGCTCAAGACTCACTCCATAGGGAAAGCTGACCCTTTCGCGTGCCGACTGCCAACAAGGGACAGTCCGGGGCCAAATCGATCGCGCTAACACCGCCGCCGACAGGAACACTCTAAAGTAGAGACTTCTCACGATGCCGAAATTCATCTATACGCTCACTATCTTGCTGGTATGCCCATCTAGGGAGGCCGGATCGGAATTGTCGTAGTATCTAAGTGGCGTATTTTTTCCTTGGCAAATCCTTAGGAAAATTTAGCGTGTTGGCAGATGAGTTACCACACACTAAAGTGAAACGGTTTCCTTGTATAAAAACATCAAAAAACAATTTAGAAAGAAGAAGAAGAAAAAACTACCCGAAAAAATCCTGAGACAATTTTCTGTTAATTTTTGTTTGCTTGTTATTTTGTTCTGAAATTTTCCTTTTTTCGTCCTGTTCACTTTTCTCACAACACTACCAAAATTCCTACACGCAAAAGTGTATAAAACCCAACCAGAATTTCCCAGCATTTTCTCATCGTCACCAACACATAGTCGACCTCCCCCATATTTTCACCCACGCTTACAGATGTTTATAAACACTCGAAACGAAACGTAGATCCTGCGATACCAGCGTGTGTGCCGCGACTTCCGATGTAGGAGGCTCACCCGGTGCAGAAGGTAGATCAGATTTAGCATCTGACAGTAATAGCAGGAAACGATTATACAATAAAGTTTCACCCGTAATACTCTGCGAAAAACGCGATATTCGCGGTAATATGTTTTTCATATCACTAGGGTGAAACTCTAGTGTTGGGAGAATATATGTGTTGAGTTTCCTCAGCTCAGCTCGGGAATTTCCAGAGCTACATTATGGAAATCTACTCAAGGTAGAAGTGTAACGAAAACCAACAAAAACTTCCCAAAATTTCCTCGCAATTTTTTCTGTCATGTAGTTTGCCGTATGCATATTTTACCAAAATAATAATTGCATTAGAAATGACTCCCGTGGGATTCGAACCTGCGCGCTTCATTCCAGACTAATCCACCCTTCTCCAGGAGAGCTTAGTTTTAAGAAAAGTGAATCGGACAAAAATCACCAAAAAATAATTTTTTCATATCTGTGATTCTATCAAAAGCACCAAAAAAAGTCCGAAAATTTACCAAATATCTTTTCCCGCCTCCTCGACGACGTATGAGAAATCCAACCATCCCTTACCCAAATTCCACAGGAGCACTTTATTCCCCGCCTCGCATGCCGCGCCGATAACACTGGCATCACTTGAACATGTCATCGCGGTGATACCAGTAGATAGGGAAGGGGAAGTGGACGAAGTAGAGACAGATAACGTGCAGACCTGTGTGAGGAGGGAAGAATGGAGTTTCACCCACGATAAGAAAAAAACATTTCACTTCGCGAAAAACGGGTGAAACTCCAATACACACATGCTCAACTACATGTGTTGGTGATAATGAAAAATTTCTGGGGGAATTTCTTGTCGGTTTTTATTATAAAACCCAACAAGAAATTTTCCCAAAATTTTTTCATAAAATTTTTATACACTTTTACCTAAATTCATGTATAAATGTAATATGTACGTAAAATATCAATTTCCATAAAAATTCATAAAAAAAGTCAAACATATATTCCTCCAACAGTCGACATTGTAAACTCCTCCATAGATATATTCAAATCGACTCGCAAACCAACTGCACTGAGAACAGTGTTGAAATTTTTCTTTGCTTTCCTCAGCTGAGCTCAGAAATTTTACCAAAATTTACTATAGGAGTATATTAAAACCAACAACAATTTCACGTTTCACACATCAGGGGGACCTAATCCGTATCTTACCAACAGCAACCTAAGATACTCACCTGAGGAGGCTTCCTATCGCTGACCGGAACTCTAGTTTGCTTCAATGCCGCGAACTTAGCGCTGGTCGCAACTCTGTGGGGAAGAGTGTCCGACAGCAACGGAAGAGATGAACATCTCAATATCTACCACAGGAACGAAATACTATTCATTTACGCCTATATCCGCGATATTAGATATCGCTTATCACTTATACAGGACCACAGTTGAGAAAATCAAAGGCCTTCCGAGTAAAGACACTCTATACCCTCAAGGGCGTCTACTTGCATAGTACAAGTAGCGTTGGAAACGACAATGGAAAGAGAGGTTGTTGGTCTATCGATTTGGGTATATTTTGGTACGATTAAACTATGGAGTTTCACGACTACCCGTTTTACGCGAAGTGGCGTCGTAATACTGCGGTGAAAAACGCGATATTCGCGGTGATATGCAGTAGTCGTGAAATATGTTTTCCATATCACTAGGGTGGTGAAACTCCAATGTTATTATTATATTATATATATCCCGACACGTGTGAATTTCCAATACTTCTGCAAGAATAACGAGAGTAGCAAAAAATAAGTGTCAATTTTCAGATCGAAATTTTCATAAAACTCCAAGAAAAAAATTACATATTTGCATATATCAATTTCACACACACTGTATATCACACTCAAAAAATAGCAATCACATCCAACAATACTTCACAAAAACCACAAAGCACTTACGTTTTTCGACGACCAACTGGTCACATTTCGATCTTCCGAACTTTCTCTACTCCTCTTATCCCCAACGTGCGTACTCCCCGTCATCTCCGACAAACTCCCATAAGCCTCAGGTGGCGAATACGCGTCCACAGTATACACAACTGCAAGAGAATAATCTTTCCCAATGGCACCGCACAGCGAAGAATATCTTCTACAGTTGCTCGCCGGTACTTGATACGCCAACTCCGCGTCAGACTTTGTCATTTCATTTTGCCACGCGAACATCTCCGCCTGTTCCACAGAATTCGGCGAACCTACCAAAATGCGCACGCGGAAGATTTTAAAGATATTCCCGACGCTCACTTGCAAGACTGTGCGGAATCATCCCGGTCGCATCGATTAGTTTCACTCGCGCCTGAGTATTAGAAAATCTCAATATTTGCGGTTTTGTATTTCCTTGGAAATTGTTAACCTACCGGAAATCCAATCTGTGTGGTTGATGATATTTGACTTGATGACGCCACGAAGGCTTGGAACAAATCAAATGCTCTCTGCGAGGCTCGAACCTACGACCTTGCGGATGAGAGCAAACACATATACCATGCGACCAATATGTCTTAACAAAAATCGATTGCAAATAAATCAGAACCCAAAGGAAAAGGATCTATAATATTCCCAGAGAGAATTCATTTTGAATTTCCTACATAAGATTATTTTTTTACACTGATGAATTCCCACATGAGTTTTGAATTTTCCTGGAGAGCGTGTATTGCAATGATGCAAGGAAACTATAATATTCCCGGAAAAAGCATTTTGAATTTCCCACACAGCTAATGAATTTCCAATTTTCTGACAAATTTCCACATAATTTTCGAATTTTCCAAAATTAATACGAAAAAATTTAAACAAACGAATTGATTAAATCAATTTACGGGTTAATTTTATAGCTGTTTTCACATTCTGCTTAGCGTTTCTGAAATTCGAAAATTGAGTTACTCACCGGGCATTTATACGCCGGGTCCTCATAAAATCGATGCCACAATTTGCCATCCCCGATATGGTCCTTGATATCTGCTATACTTCCAACCTGACGACGATTTAACAAAAGTGTGGTATGCACGCACGCACACACTACTTACTCGTCCAAGCTCAACAGCTTCATTGCGTAGTGTGCTATCAACGGTACCGACGAGGCCTTCCGCGAGGCTTCGAGCGGCTTCAGTCGCCTCCCTAGTTCCTCTATCGAACAACCAAACGATTTCTGCCACCTAGGAAAGGGGAGCATCCAACCCAGTGTTGGAAGAATATATATCCGTTTTCCTCAGCTGAGCTCAGGAGTTTTCATACAAAAATTCGGGTAGAAGTGTACAGAAAGTAATAACGTTTTCTCAAAATTTGATCAAAATTTCATTGAGTCACTATACATGTTATCCCACACTGATCAACACTAAAGATTAACAAATGCACATGCTCAACTACAGTGCGTGCCAATTTGATATGCAATTGCGGGCTGTTTCTCAAAATTAATAAGAATCGATCTAAAACTATATCGTATAAATATGAACATGTGATGTGATAAAAGTAACCTTTCGAGACTGTGATAGCGACAACTTGTTCACTATCATTAATCTCGGAAAATAGCGCATATTTTCAACATTTGCATATCAAATTGGCACGCACTGTTGGTGACAACATGAAATTTCTGAGGAAATTGCGAAAAAATCTTCCGCCGTATGTGAATTTCCGCCATTTCACCACCCTAGCTGAGATAACCATTTTTATATTCCAACACTTACAATGACAGGCCACGTTAGACTTGCTAGTTGCCATCTCAGCGCCGGGTCTGCAAAACCGATCGGAAATCTAGCTAGTGCTTCAACACTCAATTTCACAGAAGGGATGTCCCTCTGAGGCTCATCCATTTACACACACTCTTCCTCTGCAAAGCTAACTGCAAGCAGCCAAGGAAAGGAGACCAGTTTCGGAAACTCACGATTCACAACAGTGGAGTTTCACCACCCTAGTGATATGAAAAACATATTTCACGACTACTGCATATCACCGCGAATAACATCGCGTTTTTCACGACGAGTTTTACGACGCCACTTCACGTAAAACGGGTAGTCGTGAAACTCCAAAAAACCATTTCCCCTCGAACGTAAACATGAACATGTGATGTGATAGTAACCGTTCGAAGCTGTCGAATTTTTCACTGTCATTTTTCTCGAAAAATAACAACACACACTCTTCACATTTGTGTATCAAATTGGCACCCGTAAAGTGGCGTCGTAATACTCTGTGAAAAAAACGCGACATTCGCGGTGATATGCAGTAGTCGCAATATGTTTTTTTCACTACACCAAAGTGAAACTCCACTATATAAAGTCGCCTTATTATTTCTCATCCCATCTCTCCATCACTTCACACAACACATAATAACAACTAAAGAAACTGTTTTCAAACATGCACTATTCATATTAATGCTCTGCTCTAACTCTCGCTCTCCTCTGCCTTTCCAAATTCAACAATTTTTTCCAAATTTTTTCATCAAATCTCCTTCCACCGAAACTCATTATCAACGGTCTCAACAGCGTTATCCATACGAACAGATCCGATTGGGACAGTGTTGGGTCTTCCTCGCCTCTCGCTGAAAACAACAATGCTTCTACGGGGGAAGGAGAGAACTGCTACATGATGAAGTGACTAATTGCAATTTGTTACGCAAACGCGTGTACTGGTGGATATATTGGAGTTTCACCACCCTAGTGATATGAAAAACACTAGTGAAAAATAAATTTCACGACTGCTGTATATCACCGCGAATATCGCATTTTTCACCCAGTATTACGACGCCACTTCACGTAAAACGGGTGGAACTCCGTTATAGTAAACAAGTTGTGGCTATCATCACAGTCCCAAACGGGTACTTTCATCACAACACACATAGTCATTGTTACATTGGAGTTTCACGACCACCCGTTTTACGTGAAGTGGCGTCGTAAAACTGGGTGAAAAACACAATATTCACAAGTAGTCGTAAAATATGTTTTACACTAGTGTTTTTCATATCACTCCATAATATATGCGATACAATTTCCCATCGATTCTCATTAATCTCCGAAAAAAAACCATTTGCATATCAAATTGGCACGCACTGTCGTTGACCATTTTTGCATATTTCGCCTTCACATACCGTCTCTCCAAGACTCCGCAATAACATCATCACCCATTTCAGCTGAGATATCAATTTGATCTGATGATGCTGATATTATAGCCATATACGCCCTGAGAGCTCCCAGTCCATCTGAACCAAAAATCAACCTAATCCGTATCTTTCCTCACGGGCACGCTTCGTATCTTTAAAAGTAAAACCCGCGAAAATTTGGCACGCGCCACAAAATTCTCAACAGTTAACATAATCAATGCCTTACTTTTAATTTTCCTATTCGCGTCGTGATACTCCTCCTCCCGGTTTTTCTCCAGTGGCAAATGCACAGCACAAGGTCCTGATGCTCCCTCCTTTCCAAGAATCTGTGAAATAAGGAGCGTATTTCTTTCTCAGGCAAATTCAAAAAACCTGTGTTTTTCGTTAACGAATAAGAGTTTTGAGCTGAAGCTTCAACAGGATATAGTTATTATCATGTTGAGTCGAAACGGTCATGTTCGGAACCGTTACTGATATATCACGGCGAGCGAAATAATCACCCCGTGCGAACCACTGAGTTTTCTCGTCCCTTATAAATATAAGAGTTTCACTCGTTTTTCCTCATAAGAAGCCCGTATGTTGGTAATATAAATTTCCTTTACAATGAAAATCAGATTTAGAAATTCTCACCAGAGACACTCCCGTGAAGTTCAACAGTTGTTTTCCGTACATATTTCAAAAACGTAATCATTTTGAAAATAATTACAAAATATTTTTCCGCAACATAACCGAACTGATTTAATCACATCAAAAGATTCTTCTGATAATTTTAACGAAGAAATCGATGAAATAATTTCACCCTAGTGATATGAAAAACACTAGTGAAAAATATATTTTACGACTGGCCATTTATTCACCAGTCGTGGTGAATAAATGTGCCAATTGAATAATATCACCGAGTATTAGGACGCCACTTCACGTAAAACAGGTCGTGAAACCGCAGTATACATGAAATATAAGCTTCGCTTCGCTCAAGGGAATATCTAGCTCTACGAAGGGGGAGGTTGGAGTGCACTTGGTTTGTTATGAAAGTAAATCGTGGAACTTCCACACTCTCATCCAATTCGTGGGGAAAAAAGTTCGAAAATGTGAATTTTTGACGCACGATTATATCCACGTAGTCTAAAAATATTAATAATTCCTCCATCGTAAATTCACTCACCGATCGCGACACAGATAATGTCAACACGTTAGTCTCTATCGGCAACTCGATCTGTGTCGGGCCGAATTGCACACAAACCTTCTGATCGCGAACCTAATCTAACAACATGAACCCATCCTCCTCCTCCTACCCCCCAAACTCACCAACGACTGCAAGGCCCTCAAATTCGCCACATTCGCGCGACCGCTGTCCAAACGGGTTTCGTCCAATACGACGTAACTACGTCTCGGCACTTGTAGTAAACCAGAATCTGTTGGAGTATATGTTTGCTCTCCTCAACTGAGCTCAGGCAGCTACACACGACTTTGGTGTGAAAGTTTACACATTTATATGATAAATTTCAATGGAGTTTCACCACCCTAGTGATATGAAAAACACTGGTGAAAAACACATTTCACGACTACTGCACATCACCGCGAATATCGCGTGTTTCACATGGAGTATAACGCCACCACTCCACATAACTCCATAGTAGCTATCAAGACAGCCCTATTAAAATGGCATCATCATAGGGCCATATGTAGTGTTCTTAAATGAGTTGAGAGCAGTGTGGTATTGCCCTTACCAATTGCATCAGTATCATAATTCTTAACCGGAATCCACCTCTTGCCGTTCAACTCAGACACCGACACTTCCATCACTATTACTCTCGGAAGAAGACTCTCCA